CAAGTTTGGTGGGGTGGGCCACTTACTGATGTGGGCCGCTTACTGATAAAACACGTTAGTGCGCTTGCTTATGGGAGCAACGGTCTTACCCGCGTTGTCTATAATATAAGCATGGGTAGTACAAAGTTTCCTAGTGGGTTTCCAAGTGCCAGGTCTGGACTTACCGAAAGGAGTAGCAAGCTGAATCAATTTTCCAACAATTTTGATTGTACCAACATCCCCAAGATCTCAGGGTTGAATAACTGCCTCTGCTACGCTCTCAGCCTGCTCCTTGAATGCCCCAAATTCTTTCAATATATCCGGTGCAAAGTAGCCACCACAGAACTCAAAGGATAGGAGAGTTGCGCGAAGTTTTTCTGAGGTAGCACCAATATCATGGAGGAGACATGTGAGGTAGTAGGTTTCTAGACCGGGCAAACATCAAGGAACGTGCTTTTGAGCAATTGAGGCGCCTTTTCATCATATTAGCTCTGTCCGGGAATCCTTTTATTCTCACGAGGAAATCCTCACCATAGAAATACACCCGCATAGAGTGATTGTAAACGTCCTCTGAAAGCCGCTTCTTTGCATAATCATGGACCTTATTGGCGAGTTCGGTTTGTGGAATTTGAACATCTGTCACGTCGTCAACAGCGGGATCCCACTGACTGACGTCTTGCAGAAGAAGAGACGTGTCATGTGGGACCAAGGTCCATCCGTAAAACTCGAAAGTTTTTCCGGACTGATCCGCAAGTTGAGGCATTATAAAAGAACTGTAGATAGAATCAAGGAGGATGAAGAACTGTACTTGGTAGATGTCTGATATCAAGACGTGTTGCTCTGTGCAGCAGTGCCTTATTTTCTTAAATGCTCTGGGAGACTCGTTTGTCGTTTATTCTGATTCATTGCCTTGTATTCCCGAGGGTCCAGAACGATTGCATCTAAGGTTGGTTTGTGTAATCTTGGTAATTCGGCCTTGCATGATGGTAGTTCCCAAGCAGTTTGCTTGCAGTGCCCATTACCTCAACTAACTAGGGATGTGCCTTGGGGCGTAGTCAGCGATTGTACAGAAAAGAAATGAATACGACAGGGCGCGTGATTGCGCAGCGTCGACATAACAGGCCGCTTGAACACACGGCACTTGTCGCGAAGGGCGTGTAACAGCATCGCGACGATTGGTAAATAACGAATACTAGACCTCTGCACGTCTCGAGAGCTTAGTAGCTTGGGTGTTAGTAGTCGCGATGGCTTTTCGCGCCCTCCAGCCCAACTAGGAGATATCGCCTAGTGGGAACCACTGGCGTGTAGCGTACAGGGTAGTGCATCGTTCCTGTTTTGGACCAAAGGCGTGGTGGTGCCTCGCCTAATTTGCGGGGCTGTTTCGGCATTTGTTTTGTGGCTGACGGGCGACGATCCATCTAGGCCCCACACGCCGCAAGTGCTTGCATTGGGCAATGTATGCGTACGAGAAGATGGCGATATTGGCAAGGGCTACTATGGTAGAGTAAAGACTGGACTACCCTATAATTGGTCAACAAAAGCTCAACGAAAACCATCTCATCTTCAAAGCTGCTCTACAACCCCGTTGACTATTTCAAAACCAGGCCTCCGAGCAGCATAGGCTCTGCACAAGAAAACAAATCCCAGAAACCATTAGCCAATCGTCTTGGGATCCTGAGCAACTTCAACGTCCTCCTGTTCCGTCTCTCCAATCTCCTTCAAGCTCAGTCCATCGACTGTTGGCGCCTCCATCGCCGACTGAGTGTGGTTCGTCATGTAAGGCGTAGGATCCTCGACCATGAATGACGCAACAAGTGCCACGACACCGAATGGGATTGTAATGTAGAACACAAACTGAAATGCGCGCCCATATGCGTGGCGCACTGCGTGTCTCAATGTCTCCGCAATGGCAGGCGTCATGCCCTCGATTGAGCCCAGAGACGCCGCGTACGGCACTCCAATGTTGTACGTGATGGCGCCGGGAATGATTTTGCCAAGATCAGCTGGATTTAAACCTGCAGCGATGGCAGCTCGAGGAATATCTTCACCAGAATAGGTTTTAAACTTGTTCTGAAAGATAGTATTGAATATGGCATTGCCAACGGCGCCGCCAGCTGAGCGGAACGTGCCTAGAAGACCCATGGCAACACCGAGATGCGAGTATGGTACGTGCAGACTAGCAATCGCATAGCCCAGAATGGTAACCATGAGGAACATGGGAACTCCGAAACTCGGAACAAACGCCCAGGCCATCTTGTGGTTTGGGTTAACGGTGGCTGCGCTTGCTCCAATGAAGATGAGCTGCAAGGCCATACCGACGACGAATAGCCACTTGATATGTCCAATTCTGTGAGCGAAAATTGGGATGATGACGCTGACGACGATGCCGACGATGTTATTGGGGAGGGCAAGGACACCGATTTCAATGCCGTTAGTTGTGAACATGTACATGGTGCCTTGAGGTAGGAGGGCTGAGAGCGAGTTGAAGTTCATGCCAGAGATGAACAGGACGATACAAATGCACAGAAATCCGCGCCACAACTTAAAGAGCCTTAGTGGAAAGATGGGGCTCTTGGCAATTGTGAAGTCGTAGGCAAAACCACAGGCAAGAACTGCTAAGCCGAGCAGCATGGGCGCGAGAACTGATGCTCCATGCCAAGGGTGGCCTGCAGACCCGGCCCAAGTTAGGCCAACGAGACAGGTTGCCAGGCCAGCAGTAAAGAGTGCGAGACCGAGCCAGTCAACCTCGAGAAACTGCTGCCATCGCGTCTTGTCATAGTCGCCACGGGGACGGGATACTGGATTGTAGTAAAAGGCTGTGCCGACCAATGTGATGCTCTCGACGATGATGGAGATGTAGAAGATCCACCGCCAAGTGCTATATTTGAGGAGAATGTTGGCAAATAGGACGTTAAAGGAGCCCCTGCAGCGGATCAGGTGATATCAGCGTTGGATAATGGTGTGTATTAGGGGCATACTGAAAGAACTTACCAAGGAATCATGATGCCGCCCTCGAGGATGCCAACACCAACAGATCGCCATTTGTTGGGAAGCATTTCTGTAGCTCCAGAATAAGATACAAAGACAAAACCAGCTCCAGCGCCGATGACGGTCTCAGCTGCAACCAGGCTGGCAACGCTCTGAGCTGTCGCACCCACAATTGAGCCAATAAGCACGATGACCTGGCCAGCAAGGACAAGAATCTTGCGCCCAAAGACATCACTGAGGGGGCCAGCAATGGAGAAAGAGCAGGCACTGGCTAGCGACCAGGCGCCGACGATCCAGGCGAAATTCACATCATTCCCCAGATCCCGTGAGACCTGGACGGCGATGGAGGCGAGACAGGTGAAGGGTAGGGGGACTGCGGGACCAAAGGACGCAGCCATACACTGTATGTTCACTCTTAGGTCAGCATGCTATCAGTAGTATGGACATGTTGAGTATTTCATGGGATTATGAGACGCACAAAGATGGAGATCCATGTCCTGGCCGTCGCTGACGCTGTTTCGGGGTTGTCTTCGATAGCGGCGCGATGCGTGTCGTCCTCGAAATGAACCTTGGACTGCGCATGCGCCGCGAGCAGCTCTTTGTTTTGCTGGCCTTTCGCCATGGCGATATTAATTTTGATGTCTGAAGTTTCCTACTGTGGATGCACGCGGATCAACAATTGGGTCTCATCACCCAAACTTAGCCAGAAACACGGGGTACTTATTGACATTCGGCTGCCTGGCACGGACGCATTAAACGGGCCATGTTCAATATAATCCCGGCCGTTCCCGTGTGGATTGTATCTGCCGGCATGTCGAACAAGGGCCGAATCGCCGAACGAAACGCGGGGTGGCCAAACTTACTATATTCTCACCTCTCCGCACTGTGGGGAAGTGGAGAGATACAGTCGATAATCTGCACTATGTCTAGAGCCACTTCCTAAAGTGATTTCTATACATTATTCAGAGGGATAATATATAAGAATCATACTACGAAAAGCTATCTTTTTAACTAGTGATACGAGCTTATATATTAGGCTGTTCCGAGATATATTTAGTATTTATTAACTAGGCTAGTAAATAGATAAGGTCTATCTACAGATAGAGTCTAGGTAAGGTTAGATTGTATAAACCTTAGGTAGAGGTAGTAATAGAGATTCTTAGCGCTAGATAGTAGTAGAGATTGAGCGTATGAACTATAAATAGTTAGACTGGTAAATAGGTAGCGACCTACTTTTCTTTAAAAATTAATAATTAATTACACTGTAGTCCAAATTAGGTAAAAAGTAGCTTATTTTAAAGCGCTAACTAAGCACTTTCTTTTATGTAGTACATTACTAAGCCGTATCTCTAATATTAAAGAAGTTATTTAGCTATCTACCTTTAGAACCTCTAGGTTAGGTAGTAGGTTAGGTCCTTATATAAAATTATTTTTCTTTTAGTTCTAGCGCTAGTAGTATTAGACTTAGCTTAAAATAATATATTATTAAGTTATAGAGCTAATAGTAAGCTTTAAATTAAGTTACTACTTACCTAATTTAGATAAGTATTCGCTAAGTTATTTAGCTACCTACTCTCTACCCGCTATTTACTACGCTATAAATAGTAGTTAAGTTCTATTATATCTTTATAAGACCTAATCTAACTACTACTAAGTACAAGGAACCATTACTACTATCTTTAATTAAAGTCTATATAATCTAATCTAATCTAGATATTATATAGAGTTTTGAGTACTAATACTTCTCTAGCTTAATCTAGGTTAGAGTAAATAGAACTAGAACTAGCATTATAAGAGTTATATAGTAATTTATAGTATAAAAGAGTTATAGATATAACTAAAAGTTTAATAATGCTAATCTATTTAATAAACTAACTCATAACTATCTTATATAGTAAAAGATACTAGAAAGAAAGTATAATTTAAATAAACTATAATAAGAGTAATAATAAAAACTATCTATTTTTATATATTTATTACTTCTAGTTCTACTATTCTATCTATTCTATCTTAGTAGAAGGTCTAGAATAGCGCTACTATCTCTTTATATACTACTATTCTAGATAGTTAGTCTTAGTGGAATACTATATTATAAAACTCTAAGTTCTATAATATTCTATTACTTTTTATTATAGTTGTCTCTAGACTTATAGTTATCTTATTATTTATTATGAAGAGAATTCTTCTTATTACTTATAATATTACCTTCTCTCTTAGAGTTATAATTCTAATACTTTAGAATAATATTTTACTATACTACTTATTAAATTACTAACTTTACATAAGGTTAGTAGACTTTAGACTATTATAATTATTTTTTTTTAACTCTAATCATTCTAACTATATCTAAAGTCATTTTTTTCTATACTTATATATATGCTTAAAAGTTAAATAAAGAGTATTATTTATATACTAATTATATAATAGAGTTATAGAATAAAATAACTTTTTATCACTATTCTTATTATAAAGAGAAGAATTTTAATTATTTTATAAACACTACTACTGGCTATTATACTAAATATATTTCTATAAAAGCTAAGTATAGTTTATTTATTTCTAAAAAAGAGTAGTGTTACACGGGGTTAAGAGTGCTAATACTTCTCTAGCTTAATCTAGGTTAAGGCGAGTAGGATTAAGGTTAGCGCCGTAAGAGTTACCTAGCGATTCTTAATAAAAAAGAGTTACAGATATAACTAAGAGTTTAAAAATACTAATCTATTTAATAGACTAATATATAACTATTTTATAAAGTAAAGATACTAGTAAGAAAGT